GGATGTACATAGAATGGGTGAGATGAATGTATAGTAAAGTCATCAAAACCATCTAACATAGAAGAAGAACTAACATCTGGACTTCCCATGATTAAACCCTAGAATTGTAAAATTCCTAAAACTGATACAAAAAAAAAATACTCGATTTTCATTAATATGCAGCAGGATTAAGGAGAATGTTAATGTCCTTCTTTGCAACCTAAAGAAGGTAAGGCCTTGAGACAGAGTTAACCGCTGAAATCAGTGAGAATGAACAAGTACCGGAGAGCTTCAAAGGAAAACACCAGAAATCACCGTGAAAAGTTCAAAATGGCTGCAATGCACAGCTAGAAAACACTGTAGCCCAAATCTCCACATCAAAACGCGAGAAGAAATGGAGATCGACGGAATAGAAAATCTCTATGGAAATCGATGAGGGTACCATCGGTCGAAAGAGGAGAACAAGGATCATCGATTCCTTACTCTGATACCATGTTAGTATAAGAAATCGAGCTGTGAGAAAAGATTTTACAGAAGAAAACCCTAAAAAATAGAAAGAGGGAAGAGAGACTTTATTTCATCGGAAAATGTACAGAAGATACAAAAATGAATCTGATCTCTTTCTAGATAGTTCTCCTACTATATATACATGAGCTATTAGTAAAAAATACATGGACTAAAATGTAAGAAATGAAAGTTGTAATAAAGCTAAGTGGGCTGCCGGGTATCAGATATTATTGGCCTGGAGATGGGCTCCCGTTAAAAGTCCTAGCCCAATATTGCAAATGAAGTCTTAGAAATCTTTTGACTTAGAAGATATCCAAATAAACAATTGAAAGAAATATAAGCTTGTTCTGTTCACTCATCTATCAGAATGTAACTTGCAAATTTGTCGAATTAAACCTTCAATTGGTTGTGTAAGAGAAAACCAAACCGAAATAGTGATTACTTGGTCACTAAATTCAAATTCGTAATATTATAATTTTTATAGTAACCTCAGTGACTAATTTGGTTTATTCGTTTGATGTGTCTGAAGTCTGACTAGGTAAAATATTATTTTATGCCACAAAACAAAGAAAATAAAAATATATATAAATGCAGAGTTGGGAGCGTGTTTGCCCCACACCCCAAAACAAGAGGTCAACAACAACAACCCAGTAAAATTTCATTAATGGGGTCTGGGGAGGGTAGTGTGTACGCAGTCCTTACCCCTACCCCGAAGGAGTAGAGATGCTGTTTCCGAAACACTCTCGGCTCAAAAAAAGAAGAAANATATATATAGTATTCACGTGCATCTGGAAATTTACCACTAGTACGATGCTGAGCATGATCTCTCGAATTGGGACAATCATTAAAATAGGAGGTGGAAATTGTCAGGAAATTCTTTGTTCATTAATATACGAAAAACTTTAGCCTTTTTATTTTTAATAAAAAGTGTAGTTGAGAAATAATAATAGTGCTACTCCAGTCCATCATACTTTTATTTTGCTAAGCTATGTCCCTATTGTATTTTCAAACAACATTTATATATGTATGAATAATCATAATTGACAGATTTCTAATAATAAGCGGTTGAGCTTAAACTTTTTAGATCTTAAATAACTAAATTTATTGAAACTTGGCTTACATTTTTCTAATATACTCTATAGCCCTTTCTATGCCTGAATGGTTAGGGTTTTTGATAGGAAATAAGTTTATGAAATGTTTATTATGTCAACAAAAGGGATATAACTTTCAAACTTACTTTGATAAGTTTAGCTTTAAGCTGATATATGTCCTGGTTCGAGATGTGAAATCAGCCACTAATGCTTGTATTTAGAGGCGTATCTAGTACAGAAGCTATGGGTCCAACTGAATCCATAGCTTTCGCTCATACCCTGTATTTTTGCCCAAAGAATCATTAAATATGTACAAATAATAAATTTTGAACCCATTAAATTAGATGCGATGTGGTAGAATTGCGAATCTGAATACATAAAATTTAAATCCTGGATCTGCCTCTGCCTACATCACACCCTCTTGGGGCTTGGGGTACGGTTCTTCCCGAAACTCTGCGTGAATGCGGGATACTTGGTGCACCGGGCTACCTTAGCTTTAAGCTGATATCATTAGGTTCAGATTATTTTGCTCATAGGAAAGTTTTTAATCCATCAATAATGTCCTCTCAACCATTACTGTAATGCTAAGCATGATCCTTAGGAAAATCAATGGCAGTTGACAATAAGGGCTGGAAATATGGAGGCAATTTCTTGAAATTTGATATTTATGCGAAAATATATAAGTTTAAGGAAAACGTAGTTCAGAAATGATTATTCTTAATTTATCATACTTTAGGGCTTAGGCCATCAAATTTTTCTATTCCCCTCCCCCCCCGCCGGGACCTTTTTTATCAATTTTTGTTTTGTCAGAAATGATTATTGTTAATTTATCATACTTTAGGGCTTAGGCCATCAAATTTTTCTACCCCCCCCCCCCCCCCGGGACCTTTTTTGTCAATTTTTGTTTTGTTTGTTATTCTTTTCAGCTGAGATATTAGTTAATTTAAGAATACGGATTATAGCAATCTGACATTAAAATTCATTTTTTGGCGTTTTTCTTTTGCTCTCTTTTTTCCTCTATAAATAAGGATGATAATCTCGTAGATGACACTGTAATGAATGCTGTACATATTAAGATGTCAACTGCAATCTTTGGGCCTTTACGGGAAAGGTGTAGTTGAAATTAATATGAGAACTTATGATTTGCTGCTTCTTCTTTTTTCGGTCAAACAATGAAAAGGAAAACACTGACAAGAGTGTGAAATCGAGACCTATGATTTTGAGATTTTAATTTCAAACCTATCGGGTCTAAAACTCAAATTAACCTATAGGGTCTTATATTTCAGTTCAGAATTCAAGTAAGATCAATAATAATATAAATAAAATTAAAAGAGGAGTAATATGATTTCACATAGATTGACTCAACTATATAATATGTAGATATCTGGAGAGAATGACATATAAAATTCAACTAATTAGGGTATCTGATTCAATTTTAAAAAGTCAGTCGTTGATTTAACTTTGGTTTAATCTATTTGACAGTATGCTCTTGCTTAATCCACATATTTTTATACTCCCTCTATAGTCTATATTCTTTGTCTTTCAAGGTTTTTGCACATCCCTTAATAAAAATATTTAATAGCCTTAATCACTAAATTATTTTTCTAAACTATAATATCTCTCCTTAAGCATCTCATTTATTTAATACTCCATTAGTTAGAACCGTAAAGGTAGATTTGAAAAAACAAAAGTCAAACATTTTAAAACAATTTTAATTTATTATAACGACTAATATTTGGGAGAAGATGTAACAATGTTTTATCGAGCCATTTTTGCAAACACTTTTGTTAGAGTTAAAAAAGAACCCCTTCTATTCAAACCCTATATTTGTTAAGTTTGCTAAGCAAAGATTTTTAATGCATTACAAGCATATAAGATCTATACATTAAGAAACTCTAATAGATTTTACATTCGATATATACTAATGTGCTACATCTGTTACTAAATTATAACAGTAAAATTAATTTGGCAAACAAATAGAGACTGAGTTTATCAATTCAACAAAAATAACTTTTTGAGGAGGAACTACTCAAGATGCAGTAATAAAGAGGGGAATAGGCTAAGTATTTAAGGGTGTGATCCAACGATCAATAAAACAAGTGAAAAAAACTGAGTCCAATGTTTAAATAGCAAAACAAAACACTTTATGAATTTTTTTATCTATTTAAGACTTGGTAGAAAAAGTTATTAATATATGCACTAGTGAAGATAATATATACTGCCTGATACAATAAGAAAAAATATACGCAAATTGATAGTAAAAATTAGCTAGGTTGACTACTTTTTGGAGCGACTATTAGAGTTTAGTTAGAATTTAAATTGTATGATAAAGTAGTCGTTGATCTGATTAAATTGACATATTTGCCCCCAACTAAAATGCGGAACAGAAGTTCTGTAATCAGTACTGGAGTTCGAAACTTTGACAAGTAAAATCCCAGTAAACTATGCTGAAATTTTCAAAATCCAGCAATTTTGAATCTTTATTAGTACAAAATTCAAACTCAATGAACGATTCCTGATTTTTTAACTTTTTCTAGTGTAAAGTTCAGGAACGGTTCATGATTTTTAAATTCACATTATACTTCAACAATCTTTAACCTTTAAATACAAAATTCAGGAAAAATTATTGGATTTTGAACCTTTAGTAGTGCAAAATCCACAAAAATCTAGGAATAATTTATAATTTTTGAATTCATATTATACTTAAGTAATTTTTAACCTTTAAATACAAAATTCATAAAAAAAATATTGGTTTTTGAATCGTTACTTGTGTAAAATCCAGAAAAAATCAGGAACGACTAATAATTTTTTAATTCAAAAATTACTGAAGTATAAATATTCAAAGTCCAGGCCGTGAGTTTGTTTCATATTTTAGATAAGGGTATTTTTGTCCAAACTTGCATTTTCGCATAAATAGATAACTACTTTACCAAGACAATTCAAAATATAGATAAACTCTAATAGCCGTCCCAAAAAAAAAAAAAAAAAAAAAAAAAAAAAAGGCTATTTACCAATATCATTCGTTCGAGTTGATCTTTCATAAAAAAGCATACTAGCCCATAATAGACCATGCGACGAAGCCAGCCCCCTTGCGAGTGTGGCTCCAATAATGATATCTAAGTTGCATTTCTGACTGCAAAAATTGTCACATATTTTAAAAAATCTCACAGTTTTAGCTCTTACTTAACCTCAAAGCCTAAAACTCACAAGAAAACACCAACCAAACGTTAAAATAATCAATTTCAACGCCCACCCGAAGAAACAAAGGAGTAATATCTTAAACTTTTATATCAAAAGTCAACTACCTTCTCCTTTCTTCCATTTCTCTCTCCACTGTCTCTTTCCACCTTTTTCTCCTCCCTTTTCTGAATTGAAATACTAGTACTATTGTACTAAAACTTAAACCACCTGATCTGAACTTCCAAATTTCAACCTATATATTCCTCCCTTGTGTGTCTTCTTGTTCTCTATTTAAATTCAAACATTAGCTCTTTCTTTCTTCTTAAATCTCAATGGGTAAAAACCATTAATGACAACCAGCTTTAGATATATCTGTCTTTATGATTTTGTTAATGAGGATTTCCTTTCTTTTAAATGCAGTATGCTTTATTAGTAGGAACCAGAAATAATACATATTCAGTCCAATAAACATCTGAAAAGAACATAGAGTCGTTATCTCCAAATGGGTAACGGCATGGGAAAATTGAAGCTTTGTTTCGCCGGAGAGGTTGGAGAAATCTCGAAAAGACACCACGATATCGCCGTGAACCTCTCCGATCATTTCGACGACGTCGGTTTAGGCCATTCTTTTTGCTACATCCGATCAGACCCTTCTTTCTCCGATGAATCCTCCTCCTCCTTCTCCTCCAGTAACAGCAGCCGAACGACGGCGTTTCGCACCATCTCCGGCGCTTCCATATCGGCTAACGCCACCACGCCTCTCTCTACCGCGCTTTTGGACTTCTACCCTTATACTGATATGTCGTCTTCAGCTTTTGAAAGCTCTCCTTTATTCTCTTCCATTCCTCTTCAGCCTATTCTCCGAAGTTCCATTGCCTCTCTCCGGTCGGGCCCAATTCCCCGAGTTTCTAGTTCGGGCTCTGGCCCAATAGAGCCGAGCTTCACCTCCCTCCCTTTGGAGAAATCCAAGTCTAGCAAATTGGATTTCGTTAGAAGTTTGAGGAAAGTTTTGTCAAGCTCCTTTCTGGGGATTGAAGAAATGAGTTTTATAGAGAAGACGAATAAAATTAATTGCCAAGTTAATTTGGCTGATGATGTTGAGGGCAATGTGCAGTGGGCTCAGGGAAAAGCAGGGGAAGACAGAGTACATATAGTGGTTTCTGAAGAACATGGGTGGGTTTTTGTTGGAATTTATGATGGATTTAATGGGCCTGATGCTACTGATTTTCTGTTAAACAATCTCTATTCAAATGTCAACAAAGAGCTCAAAGGATTTCTCTGGAATAACAAGTTAGAAATCTCTGAGGATTCGACGAGTAATGACACTATTCCATTGGTACATTTAGATGAGAAATTGAATAATTTGGGAACAAATGGAGTTGCGGGTATTGACCATTTTGATGTTTTGAAGGCGTTATCAGAGGCGTTAATGAAAACTGAGGCGTCGTATTTGGAGATGGCTGATATGATGGTAAAGGAGAATCCTGAGTTGGCTTTAATGGGATCTTGTGTTTTAGTAATGTTGTTGAATGGTAAGAATGTTTACTTAATGAATGTTGGAGATAGCAGAGCAATTTTAGCTCAAAATCCTGAATCCGATCCTTCTGAAAGCACATTGGGACGGATAAACGAGGAGAGTTTAAATCGCATTGATGCACTATGTAGAGTTGAATCTAATCTTACTTCTTGTCAACTCACCTTGGATCATACCACATCTGAGAAAGAGGTACAGATCCGAGCCTTTCTGCGTAAACATATATATTCATGATTCTGTTTTCCTCTGTTTTGGTCTATTGAAAACAACCTCTCTACCTTTATCAGGTAGGGATAAGATCTGCGTACTCACTATCCTCCACAGACCCCACTTGTAGGATTATACTTGGTTTGTCATTGTTGTTGTTTTCCCCTATTTTGGTCCATCGGAAACAACCTCTCTACCTTCACCGGGAGGGGAAAAGTCTGCGTACACATTACCCTCCCAGACCTCACTTGCGGGATTATTGTGGATTTGTTGTTGTTATTGTTAATCCCGCCAATATTGCTGTATTTGTAAATAATAATTCTGTAAAATATAAGTTATCGTAATGAAATAGTAATTAATTCGAGCCCACTGAATTCACAGTGTTTTCTTAAGGAATTTAATCCCCTCCTAGTACCCAAGGTTATAGATTATTTCCTCCCAAGATAGAACGAATCACACACTGGTGTAGCGGTACTTCAAACCCCAGTGTTTCAGCGAACACAAAGTTCGGTAGCAAATCACACTTACAGTTGCTTTGTTTGAAGTTAAAACAATGCAGAACAAA